TATGATATGATGTTTTCAGATCCTCTGGGAAAATTCCCAGTAGAGGAATAGCTGGTTTAAATGGGATTTCCAGTCCAACTTTTCTAAGGAGTCTCCACATTGAATTTGTAAATTGTATGTCTCTTGATTTTATTTTGTATTATCATGGAGCAGTCACCATCGTCTATCCACCTCTGCAACTGTTAGGTGCAGTTTCTGGTCCAGAACTATTGCACATTTCCAAAGAAAGCAAGAAACTTGAACTTCTCCCCTCAGCAGATAAAAGTATCAGTGGAGCATATCTGATAGCCCCTGAATCCTTTGTTCCCCTATCCATGGGGAGGTGAATGAATAACTGGTTAGGTCTTAAGTCCAGCCTTTTTAGTTTTCCCTTTCACTGTGTCCTACCAGGGACACATATACGTTCTAATCTTTTAATCAGTAAACATGCTTTGGCAAATCCTGCCCTTGTATGGAAAGGCTGCAGTTTTAGGAAAGTGAAGACAGTTTAGAAGAAGCAGTCGGAAGCTCCTTTGAAGTTAGGTCAGAAAGGTACACTTTAATTTGTTGGAGACCAGTTTTAAATCCTCAGTTTTTTAGAAGAAGATTGGATGCAGTGTGTGTTAAGGCTGAAGGTATTCTCACTTTACTGTCGTTTCTTCTCTTGCAGGTTCCTTCTCTTGTTTTCCATAAAACTTCATTACCATATGTCTGTACTTTTATTGTTGGATCATTCTCTTTTTTGCTTGTACTTCTTTTCATATTCTCAGTGGAAGTTCTTCAGTTTTCATTTCTGACCTTGTCTTCTTTTTCTACATTGTTTTGTTTGGTTTGGGTTTGGTTTTGGTTTTGAGATGGTCTCACTATGTTGCCTATGTTGTAATTGGACTCACAGTGATCCTTCTACCTTAGTCTACTGAGTACTGGGATTATAAGTATGCACTACCATTTCCAACCTGTTTTTCTACATTTATCTCTTAGAGGGATTATCTAGTTTGTCCACTTTCAACTCTTACAACTGTAAAATGTTTTTCACATTGGTATCATCAGATCCTTAATTCTTACTGTCTTCCCAGATATCCATCTCCTTACTTGAGCTTTATTTGGATTTCCTCTTACTATTCATTTTATTCCAAATTGAAATAATCTACCATAGCATAACTAGCTCCACTTCCTAAATTCTTTGTCTGTGTAGTGAGAAATAGTATTTTCTTAGAAACCTATGCACAAAATTTTAGAATAACTTTCTTTTCTACATTTCGATGCCTGTCTTATTTATTTAATATTGTCTCCCTTCCCCATTCTCCCATAGACTTTTTGTTATTTTGCACTCTATTTAAATAAATTTATCCGTAACCCCCCAAACCCTGTCTCAGAGGTGAGGTGTTTTTTGAGACAATGTCACTACATAATTCAAACTGGCCTCAAACTCACAGTGATTCTCTTCCCTCATCCTCCTAAGTACTGGGATTACAGCATGTGCCACTATACCTGGTGCCTACTAATCTCTTTGACATTTCCATTTCTGATCCCTAATGTGTATTTTTATAAAACTACTTATCTTTAAAAGTGGTATCATTGTCCTTTCTCACTGCCCTAATAAATTCAGTGTTATTTTTCCACATTATTTGGCTAGTTAGCATAGTCTACTGGGCATGCTGGGTGCACACCTGCAATCCCAGCTTTTGGGAGACTGAGGCAGGCTGATCACTGTGAATTTGAAGCCATCTTGGATTGCATAGTGAATTTAAGGTCAGCCTGAAAAAAAAGTCTTCTATAATACCTTATTTTGTCTTTTATTTTGTACTTTTCTCTAGTTCACCTTTCACTCTTGTTAACCTAGTTCTTTTATTTTCTAGAAATGTGTTAGTATCTTTCTTTAGTCCTTCACTTATTTTTCCCATATATTACCATTCTAATTTACTAGCATGAGTTGTTCATTACTATACAACTACTAGTTTTTTTTCTGGGAAGAGACCGTGCTTTTTCTGTATGTCAGCTGTAGATGATGAGTATGTAATTATTAAAATGCTTCATTATTGTAAATAAATCTTAAAATATAGGAATGAAAAACATTTCTTCAGATTATTTTAAGATAAATTCTAATAAAAGGATTTACAGTGTGATATGTTGCATCTGTTAGTTGTAAAAGTGATTTGACCGCGTGATTGTGAATATGCTAATTTCCATAACATTCTGTGAGGTTTAATAAAGACTTTCAAAAACTCATGAAACAGTCAGAACAACAACTTAAGGAAATTACTGAAAAACCATTTATGACCAACAAAAAGTATGGGTGAAAAAAATCTAACACACAAAAATACAACTATTTTACATTGCATAGCTTAGCTCAAAGTCATCTATCTGTGAAAAACAATGATAAAATGTGTCCAGCAGACTGAGTAATCTTTCCCACTGAAGGATTGTTTGTCTTCTCCCAAGCTATGTCAGTAGTAAAAACCATTTTGCTTAATAGCCAAAGAAATAATTTCTGAATTTTGCTTTAAAATGTTGTTTGGTAATCCTTTTTAACTTTTTGAGTTCTCATTTAATGACTTGTATACAGTCTTATCTCTAGGCCTGGTTACATTATACTAATTTTAAATTTTTCCTTAAATATTCTATTCATTGTATTTATATAAAAGGATTACAGGTAGGCTTTATATTCCTACTTTTATTTGTAGAAGGTATCTTGATGACAAACTAGGATAGATGCAACTTTGTAAACATAGCACTTTTATTATTTTTAGGAAAAAAAAATGTAGATAATATCTTGTATCAGATTATCTCTTTTTATTATGTGAAAAAGTACAGCCAAACAGGTTTTTCTGTTTATTTGGTTTTGACTGCTCGTAAGGGTGGATGGGGGTACTGTTGAACTACATTCCCAGTCTTTTTTTTATTTTTTACTTTGAGACACACTCTGAGTCACTAAGTTGTTTAGTTTTGGCTTGAATTTGCAGTCCTCCTATTTCAGTCTCCTACAGTGCTGTTGTTATGGCCATGAGCCACCAGTCCAACTCTACAACAGTAGTTTCATTACCTTCTTATTAGAGGTTCTTCTGCCAAGATAAAATATTTAATCTAATGAGAAAGAACAAATCTCCATGCCCACAGCTTTGCTCTTATTTCCTTTAAGGAGGAAGAATACATGGAGTCAGTTCTAGATGTTAATGAAGTTTAAGGGACCACAGTTAACAAATTTTCTCTTTTAAATTAAAAAAAAAATGATAATATCAATTTATGATTTGTTTTTACCTAGCCTTATTTTATTTTATTTACTTATTTGTTTTTAGGGACGGATCTATAGGGGTTCAGGGTCTTACTACTATATCAGACTCATAGTGATCCACTTGTTTACAGCCCCCCCAAGAGCTGGGATTACAGGTGTACGCCACCACTCCCAGTCTTAGTGGCCATCTCAGCATGCCCTGAGCAGAGGCCCGGCACTGCAGGCCTGGGGATCGAACCCCTGGCTCCTGTGTCTGCTTGCAGGTGCTTTAATCCACTGAGCTCTTTGGCCAGCCCTACCTAGCCTTATTTTAAAGGCACATCTGAATGAACTGTATTTGTGCATGTATGCATATACACACTTGTTTATAATCTAAGTATATGCATTTCAAAAGTCAAAAACTAGTTACTGAAGTCTGATTCTGTTAAACAAGGAAAACTATTCTAATTTCCATAAGATAAACACAAACTGCCAACTATCGTTGGTACTAAGACCAGAAAGTAATTTCTCTTAGAGAAGGCTCTCCTAAAAATGGATATTGAAGAGCTGGCAAGGTAGCTCAGTGGGCTGCTTAGGCAAGCACAGGGTCCTGGGTTCAATGCCTGGTACCACATGCCGCATCCCTGGGCACTGAGCCAGCCACCCAATCCAAGTGTGGTGGTGCATGCCTGTAATCCCAGTGCTGGGGAGGCTGAAAACAGGAGGATCACTATGAGTCTGAGCTGCGTAGTGAGACCCTGTACTGAATACATGCATACATACATAAATCTAATTTCAGTTAAAAGAAGCCTTACCAGGAACCAGTACTTTGTAGCTAGTTTTATGCTGATCTGGATTTGATCTAGCAGAATTTTAAATATCTAGAATGAATATATCACATGTTCTTCACTTTTTTCTCATGAACAAGATTTTGATATGTGTGCCAGTAAATTTGGCATTATGTTCCCTAACAAATACATGGAAAATGTCTATTTGATGATACTAGTTCAACTCAGATTCAGGCCACTGGTTGTAATGGACCAGTGATCTAAAGGAACAATTGGCATTCTCTTTTGGTTTTGGTTTCATTTTTGGTTTTGGTTGTTTTGAGGCAGTGTCTCATTGTGTAATGCAGGCTGGCCTTGAACTCGCTTATGTAGCCTAGACTACCCTTGAGTTGAGTTCACAATGATCCTCCTGCCTCAGCCATCGGAGTGCTGGAATTATGGGTATACCACCATGCCTGACTGACATTCTTTTTTAAAAGCTGAGTTTTTTATATTAGACAACCATCTCATTGAATTTATTGTACAGTGAAAGAAATTTGCTAGTTTATTATTTGATTTTTACTTCATGCAGAAAATTGGAGATTCATACCGTGGCTACTGTGTAAGTGAGACTGAATTAGAAAGTATCCTAACATTTCATAAGCAGCAAACACAGAGTGTTTGGGGGACCCGCCAGTCGCCAAGCCTAGCCAAGCCTGCTACACGCTTGATGTGGAAATCCCAGTATGTCCCATATGATGGAATCCCATTTGTCAATGCAGGTACTCTTTAAAGAATTATTTTAAAAGGTTCATTAGCAGCCATTGTACATTGTGAAAAATGTGATTTTCCTAATCACAAAATGTATTTTCATTTTGGTAAATGGTAACTGAAAGTTAACAGATTAAAATACATGCTAAACTAAAAGAAAATTTACAGTAAATATAGCCAATTACTGTTGTATAATTGCATTTTAATATATCAGAGTGAGTAAATAGTGATTTCTTTATATTTTATGCCTTTTTTTTTTTTTTTTTTTGTAGTACCAGAGATCAAACTCAGGACCGTGGGCTTGCCAGGCAGGCACTTATGCTGCTGAGCTGTCTCCCCAGCCCTGTATTCTATGCCTATGAATAGAAAATAAAAATATTGAAATTCCAGGTGTGCCTATTTAATAAAGTATAAGAAGAGAAATTTTATTTTTAAAATACACATATCCAGCTGGATATGGTAGTACATACCTGTAATCCCAGTACTCAGTAGGCTGAGGCAGGAGGATCACTGTGAGTTCAAGGCCAGCCTGGGCTACATTAAGTGCATTCAAGGCCAGTCTGTATTACATATTGAGAACCTGACTTGGAAAAAAAAAGAAAACAGAAATATATGTATGTCCACTATGCCCCTTCTGCCAATGCAGATGTTCTCTCGTTTCTTAATTTGTTTTGCAGGACAAACTTGTGTCCATTTTGGTAGTTTATAACTGTAGTTACTGTATAGAATTTGTTAACATATAGAGCTCTGATATTAAAGTTCATAAGCATTGGATATATTACGTGCTATAGTCTCAGACATTTAAGTTGGTGTTTACTGTAGTGAGAGAGTTTCCAGAAATCTGCCACAGGACTAGGGACATCCCAGAGAACCTAATAATAAGTAATTCATTTCTGGACTGTAAGGGCACTAATTTAGCTAGGAGAATTATGGTCTCATCCTAAACCTCTGAGGTTAATAAGAAATTCTTATGAGTATGGCAGTAGGTGAGTGGTAAAATGTTTGCCTAGAATGGATGAGGCTTTGCATTTCAACCCCCAACACTGAAAATACTACTACTACTAATAATAATAGAAGAAAGGTTAATTTGAAAGACTGTAAGATAAATGTAACCCCTTTTGCCCAGGTTTCATCAGTGTTCTATCAAAGAAATACAGTCTCAAAGCTAAGTATGGAATGGCTGAGGGTATAGCTCAGAGATAAACCTTTAACTCGTATGTGTGAGTTTCTCAAGTTGGTCTGCAACACCACAAAACAAAACAAAAAAACCTTGAACCCTGAATTTTTCCACTTTCCTTCTCTAATTTTATCTCCTTTTTAATTCATCATAGATAGCCAGTAAATGCATTTGGTGTGTACCTTTCCAATCTGTTTTTATTCTGTGTTTTTTTAATAGTATTATGGATTAAACCCAAGACCTTGAACTTAATAGGCATGTGTACCAGCCCAAGGTTTTTACTTAATTTAAAAAAATATTTTAATGTGATACATGTAGATATTAATAAAGAAAACATAAAAAGCACTATTTTTAAAAAATTCTATAATAAAAGAGAATAGTAATAGTTAATATACTATGTGCCATTATCTTAGAATAGCCAAATATTACTCAAGAGTATAAGTCATAGACAAATAACTCTCTTACAAAAAAGAAAACAGATAACAATAGATGTCTTTCTGATGAACTAAGGGAAACTAGTAGTCTAAATGAAATAAATTAGCATATATATTGAAATATTTTTAAAACAATGCAAGAGAACTCTAATAATTATTTGATGATCTCTGTACTTCCTGTATATCTCTTTCTATATTTCTAATTAATATGACATATACTATTATTTTGAATATTTTAAAATATACCTAAGTAATAAACTAAATAGACACTGTTTTGCAAATTTTTCACTCATTTTTAAATGTATCCATATTTATGCTTACAGGTCCTAGTTAATTCAATCTGACTGCTGTATAATAGTCTAGCATGTGGCCGACCATCATTACTTTTCCATTGACTATCATTTAGAATGGTTCCAACTTATTTACTAAGAAGAATGCAAGGGCTGGAGATATAGCTCAGCAGATTAAGCGCTTGCTGAGGTAAGCGCAGGGACCAGAGTGCAATCCCTGGCACCACATGCTGCATTGGCCTCACCCCTGGGCACACTGAGCTGGCGATGGTGTCTGGCCATAGTGGCTCACACCTGTAATCCCAGCACTAGGGAGGCAGAAATCAGGAGGATCACTACAAGTCCGAGCTGCATAGTGAGACCCTGCACAAAAAAAAAAAAAAAAAAAAACCCTAAAAAAATAAAAAGAATGCAATAGTCTTCCACAATATATATCTTTTAATAAAATGCATAATTAGCTTTTCTAGAATATGAGCCTTATGATGGAATTGTTTTAAAATATACCCATTTGATCTTTGACTGATTTAATGTTATATTAATGTTCTAAATAATTTTACATAAATGTTCTAAAGTGGCTACCTCTTTCTCTCTCAAATATTTTGGACCAAATTTTTCACAATTCTGTAGTTTTAGAATTTAACGTAGTAATATTACAGAGCACTCCTTTTAAGTATTGTATAAACAGCATCATATATAATCTTTTGGGTAATCACACTAAGCCATAAAGACTTTAAATAGCTTCACATAGTTTAGTTCAGATACTGCAGCCAGATAAGTTTCAAAAAACTTTTTCACTGAGCCTTTTAGACTTCAGATTTAACTTTTTTTTTTTTTTTTTTTTTTTGCGGGACCTGTGATCAAACTCAGGACCTCATGCTTGCCAGGCAGGCGCTTAAGCCACTGAGTTATCTCCCCAGCCCTAGATTTCAGATTTGCCTGTAAAGGACTGAAGACCTGCTCTAAGTTTCACTTCTTATAGCAATGTGTGAAATTTTCTCTTTCCTGCATTCACTTACCCAGGCTTTTCTTTTGGGCCAGGGATGAAGGTGTTGAGACAAAGTCTTACTATGTAGCTGAAGATGACCTTGACTTTACATAGCCCATGATAGCCTTGAACTCATGAAGTCTTGCTGATTATAGGCATGTGCCACCACACCTAGCTGCATTGCCAGATGTTTCAAAAAATTTCTGTATTATGGCAATTTTCATATGCCATAATATGTAGAGGTAGTATAAGAAACTCCATGATTACAGGTATCTCTTGTAGAGCTTCAGCCTCTATCAGCATATGGTCAGTCTTGTCTCATTTATAATTCTGCTGACTTCTTCATTCTCATAAATGTTTTTTACAAGTTTCAGATATCACATCATTTTATCTATAATTGCTAAAGCATGTAATATGTACTAATGTATATACCTCTGAAAGATAAGTATCCTTAAAGATATGTATTCATACATACATGACAATCCCATTTTATGCTTTAAAAGAACCAACAATGATTTTTTTAATGTTATAAAATGTTCCGTATTCACATTTTATCACTCATCTGAGTTTTATCCCCATAAGTTTGGTAGATAACATTCAGATACTGTATTTGGCTAATATTTTTGTTCCTTAAATTTCTTTGCTTTTGAAGATCTCTCTTCTTTTCCCCCATTAATTTGTACATGTTCTTTATCTCCTGTACTTTTCTTTTTCTTTCTTTCTCTTTTTTCTTCTGTTTGGTACTGGGAGTTCAATTCAGGACTTTCAAGCACTGTGCAATTGAACTATATCCCCAACCCTATCTTTTATATACTTTTTGTAAACTGTTAGTTCTAAACACTTGATTAAATGTAGATGTGAATTTTGAAAGAATACCTCACAGGTTTACTGTGTTCTTTATATTGGTACTTCTGGTATCTATATATGTGATACTCATGTTGATCAGTGGAATCAGTTGTTTTATAATATTGTTAAACACTTTCATATTTGAAGAATGCATCAGGAATATAAGAGCATCTTAGCAAGGTAGTTCTGCCTCATATCCTCTCACAAAACTGAAATTAAAATGTTGACTCAAGCTATAGTGTTTTCATAGCTTGACTGAGTGAGGGAGGATCTGCTTTGAACCTCACTCACACAGTTATTGGTAGACCTTATTCCTTACCATGTGGACTTTTCTGCAGAGCTCCTTACTATGTGGCGTCTGATTTTGTCCAGAGAAATTAGTCAAAGCAAAAACAGAGAGATTACCGAAAATAGAAGTTATGGTCAATCACCTAAAATAAAAAAATAATACCCTATCACTTCTGCTGCATTCACTGATTAAGTATAGCTCATGTTCAGAGGGAGTTGATTACTCAAGGAAATGAATGCTGGGATGCAGGGATCATTGGGGCATCTTAGAGTTTGTCTATATCATTGGAATAGCCCAAATAAAAATAAGAAAATAAATAATTATAAAAGGAAATAAATTTTAAATGATAAAATTATTAACCAAATGTAGCATTTGCTAATTTCTATTTATAAAGTGATACATTTTATTTTTAAAATCTTATATCTGCTAGTATATATTCAGTCAATGTGTTGTTTGCTAATTTCTTTATAATTAAGATACGTTTGGTAAATTTTATGATAACCTTTTAAATTTGTGTTTGTGAATCTTAGTAAGACATTCCAGTGGTTTTTTTCCATAAACATGTAATTACAAGTGTATATTTTGACATTGCCATCACAAAGTTATTTTTAATTTAATGTCTATAATAGATAGACATGTGAATTAATATCAATAGTTGGCTTTGGCCCACAGGGAGTAGAGCTGTGGTGATGGAGTGTCAGTATGGGCCAAGGAGAAAAGGTTTCCAGTTAAAAAAAATCAGTGAACAGGAAAGCAGGTCATGTCAGCGCTACAAAGCCACCTGTCCAGCCAGGTAAGCCTTCTTTATTTTTCATTGTAGTCTTATTTTAAGTTTTTTTTCATTCCTCTACCCTTTGTCCCTCTTTAAGGCTATAGCACTTACCAATTTCTTGAGTCATCTTACAGTGTATTCTGTGTATGCATGTTTCCTCTATTCTCATAAATAAGTATTTTGAAGATCTAGGTAAGACTCACTAATATTTTCTTTTCTTAAAGTTAGTAGTATACCTTCTTTCCCACTATGAATGCAGTAGTTACGTTCAATGTAGATGTCTTGCTACATCCTAGTAATCATGTGGAGTAATACACACTTTGCTGTTTAAAATTTGTACTCTAGTGCAGTCTCATTCCATATTTCTGTATAAATATTTTTAATAGATATATAACACTCCATTTATGGATGTAATTGTGTGTTTTAGAAGCAGATAGGAGACAGACAGACCTTGGACATTGAACTCAGGGCCATCACACTACATATATATCCCCAGTCATTTTTAGATTTTTGAGATGCAGTTATACTGAGTTGTCTAGACTGGCCTCAAATTTCCAAGTAGTTGGGATTATAGGTGTGTGCCACTGTGGCAGGCTTAATATCTTTTTAAACTTTCATCAATTCATTTGTTGTATCTGTAAAGCACAGAAGACCAATACATCTGTAATTAGACTTACAAACATTGTCTTCTAATTTTTGTACCCTAAAATAAAGCCCATACTTCTGTCCTAGCCAGCACTTGCTCAATGAATGTATTAGAACAGTGGTCCTATAGTATCACAGCATTCACTAAGCAGCAGTTATATTGGAGGGTCTCAGCCCAGGTAGTTTTCAGAGTTGCTCGTGAATTGTTTAAACATTATCAGTATGCAACTTCTAAGGTACAATGTCTGGGGTGGTTTTGATGAATGTAGAGCTTAAAGCTAGAGACAGAACATCAGTGTTGTGAATATCTGGACTTGTCAATCCTTACAGTTGTCCCCCTTCCAAGTACTGTTGGGAAAGGTTGCAAGCTGGCTTCTCTGCTAGCCTTTTGCTAGTGGAGGATGATGATGGGAGATTAGGAGATGAGCATCCAGGGCATGACCCACTTGGGTTGAGCCTTAGTGGTGGTGAGCCTTCTTGGCCTCATCAGTGGAGACAGCTAACTCAGCTGAGCCTGGCCCCAGTGAATGGATTCCCTTTGCACCTCTGGCCTATGAGTGATAAAGGTTTCTTAGCAGTCTCCAGTTCTCTCCATTGAAGGCCCTATGATTTCTTAATGTGGTGGGAGCCCTGGCTTGTTTGGATTCCCCTCACACACATGCATGTAAGTACTTCCTGTATTTGGGCCCATTTGCATGTATGTGCCACACAGTTACCATGTACATAGATTAGCACCAACTGCTCCTATCTGTAATTTGTTCAATATTTTATCTCTGTGATGCTTCTTACTGTGCTACAGAATCAGGGCATATTATCATATTTATAAACTCTTGGTTTTTATCACTAAGCCAAACTGAGCCATCCAAGTATTTTGTATATAGACAGTATTGCTTACTTTTTTCCAGAAACAGCGAGAATAATGATTATTCCTCAGAAGCACACTTGAAAAAATGTTGTCAGTAAGATGAAAGATTCAGAACATATTTATATGAATGTGGCACATACACTGGAGATTAAAACGTCTCCTCCCCAAGATCTCAGGGAATTTTTCTTATTAGTCCATGTTTGTAGTACATAACATTTACGTTCCTTTTGCGAAGTTGGTGTATGTATAGAACACATCTTCATTCCTCTTTTCATCCTGTCCCTCCCTTCTCCCTTTCCCCCATCTCTTGATCCCTTTCCCATTTAAGAAAGATCTTTCTACCTATTATGTTTTATTTTGCTCCTTATTTATAACTTAAGTTTCTTACATTAGAAAAACCACACAGTAGTCAAAGTTGTGTGTCTGATTCATTTCACTTATCATTATGGGCTCAAGATTCATCGATTTCCTATAAATGATCCAAGCTTATTTTTCTATATGGCAAAGTAGTACCCCATTGTATATAAGTACTACTATACAGTATTACTTCTTGCAGTGCTCTTTGTAATTGAAAAATTTTGAATTGACTCCAACTCCTTTACCTGTGAGAGCATGTGTATAAATTGCCACAGTTCCATGTAGCAGATTGTGTGCAACTGTGGGAAATAGGCTGAGTTCTGAGCTGACCTGGCATGACTTCATGCCATGGAACCCCATTAAACAAGAAAAATAAAGTGCACAAGCACGTATGTAGTGTAAATTTAGGAGGGATAAATGAAGAACTTATAATAGCACCAACAGTTTGGATGGATTTGGAGTGACGACTCTTAAGAGTACCTTATAGTAAAGTTTTGACTATGAGCCATGCTCAATACAAACCAAGCAGGAGGTGAGGGAACCCAGAATATGACAAAACAATCACAGCACTTAACATTTAATTAATCCTTGAAAGGCACAAGCTATGAAAAATACCTTTTTATTATATACAAAGTTGTACATAGTAGCATTGTACATCTTACACTTACACTTGTTAGTACGGTAAACTCCTAGAAATGAAGTTGATGGTAGAGCAAATGTTATATATATATATATATATATATATATATATATATATATATCTCCTTAATGTTGGCAAGTATTGCAAAGCTGCTTTTTAAAGAAATTTAACCAGGACCAGTGAGATAGCCCAGTCCCCTTAGGCAAGCATGGGGACTGGTGGTTGGATCCCCAGCACCACATGCTATGCTGGCCCCACTCCCCGGTGTGGTGGCATATGCCTGTAATCCCAGAACTGGGGAGGCTGAAAACAGGAAGATCACTGAAAGTCTGAGCTGTGTAGCAAGGCCCTGTACACAATACATAAAGAAATTGAACCAATTTAAATTCCCATCAGCCAGTTATAGAGAGTATTACAGTATAGTCATTGCACTGAGTGGGAAGGAAAAATGGAAACCAATGAAAGATATTAAAGATATACTTTACGAATAGTCTTTCAAATATAGAAAGTGTTTAAAATTATTAGTAACATAAAAATTTAGAAGATACATTAGCCAATATAGTGGTAAGCCTGTAGTGCCAAGTAATCAGGAGACAGACTGGAGGATTATAGGAACCCATGAATTCTAGACCAGCTTGGGCAACATAGCCAGACCCTGTTTCAATCAAAGCAAACAAGATTATATGAAATGATTGAAATTATCCTTAAAAACATTACATTTTAATATTACATTTCATATCACAAGCATCAGTAGTCTCCAAAAGTTTTAAAAACCCATTCCAAGGCTTTTCATATTTAATTTAATGACGTCAGCTTTAAACTTGGCTATGGGACAAAACTTTCAACTGCTTTTTACATACAAGCAGTATAAAAATATAAGGTGTAAAATAGGAGAAAACCTCTGTATGTGGATAATTAATTTTATCATTATTCTACAAGTACTGTTTTAGTATCTGTTACTCTGCATCCAGAAATGTGTTCTGTACCATAAGAAGAAGAAAGATCCAAAGAGGAACCACGTTTTACTTAATCTTGGGTCATTTAAAATATTGTTGAGGAGGATCAGAAAACAAATCACTAGTAGAGAACACAATAGTGTAGTATAGTACAAAACCTTTGTATTACCTACCTATTACAGATATTCAGGAAAGGACTATAACTCCTAGCAGGAAATTACAAATTAACCTGGATTCTGAAATATAGGTTGAATTTAAATAGAGAGTTAGAGGAAAGATACAGTAGTCTAGAAGAACCATATAAATGAAGATTTTGTGCAATTACATATTTGATGTCACCAGATGGTACACTGAAAAATTGAACTTCATGAAAAGGAAATTTTATATTTGAAGTGAGATTAGACGAGTTAGTTGAATTCATATAGAATGCCTTGAATGTTCCTAAGGAACTCATATTTGACCTTAAAAGGGAGTCTTCAACAGAGGAATACAAATGTGAACAGCATTGTGGCATTGATATATCAAGTGAATTTAAGTAATGAAAGATTAAGGCGTAGCAGCCTAGAAGAAAGCTCTGAATTCAGGCATGAGGTAATTATAACTTCCAGGGAAGTGGAGAAGAGGCAAATTCAGAATTACCCACAAATACAGTACTTAAGATATTTTTATTCAAGTTAAAATTCTCTCGGTATGGTGGCACATGTCTGTAATCCCAGCACTCAGGAGGCTGAGGCAGGAGGATCACTTTCACTTAGAAGCCAGCATAGTAAGTTCAAGGCCAGCCTGAACTTCAAAGCAAGATCTTGCCTCAAAAAAATAAGGGGGGAGAAAAGATTATTGTTTTTTTTTTTAATTTTATTTATGTGTGTGTGTGTGTGGCCAGCTCAGCCCACCAGGGGGCGGGGTTGGCTGACATGTGGTGCTGGGGGATTGAACCGTGGTCCCTTTGCTTGCTAAGCCAGTTCTAAGTAGGTGCTTTAGACCACTGAGCCATCTCACCAGCGCCAAGATTATTGTTAATTTGCTAAGTGTTATCCATTGAGAACATGGCTTCTCTCTCATATACTTCTGAATACTTTTCTAGATAAATAGAATTTTCTATAAATTTAAATGCTTAAAGTGCTCTTTGGCTGATAAGTTAGATTTTTCTTGAAATTATAATGAAATAAATCTTCTTTATCTTGCATAAAGGATTTATATTAAAAAGGTGCACAAGTTTCCTGAATACAGAGTACCTACAGATCCCAAAATTGACAAGAAAATAATCAGAATGGAACAGGAAAAAGCTTTTAACATGCTAAAGAAGAACTTGGTAGATGCTGGTGGTGTTCTTAGGTATGACATTTATGTAATTGTTTTATTTTACAATTAACACCGTTTATAGGAATTAGCACCGTATATAAGACTTCATATATAGGAATGTAGAAAAAATTATAATTAAATTTTTTATTTCCTTAAAGTGTTTTATGAAGTAGGTATCTGACTAGCATTAAATTTGTTACTGAATAAATTATTTTTATTATCAAAGAATTACACTATATTATGCCACATGTATAAAGCAGTACAGAACATAGAAGGCTTTTCCTCAAATCACGAAATATGTATTTATCAACATATTTTATTGTACATGTTGTACTTTGTTTCAGATACTTAGTAGCAGAGCTTTCAGCCTCATACATATTTTTAAAACCCTTCTCTGGTTGCTATAACATCCAGAAATGAACTGTAAGTTACAGTAAAATTTTATTTTATGCTCAGGTTTTGAAGAGAAAGAAATTTTAGCTTTTGTGTACTTTCCTTTATTTTCAGTAAGAACTTACTGTACAATGAGGTCATATGTAGGGAATATAATTTTGTGTGACTTTTAATAAAAACCTTTAGGTATATAAAAATGAATCAAATTCCTCAGTGCATAGGCTCCATTTTATTTAATATTAACCATTATAATAATTGTGTACCAACACAGTATTTCCTGATGTCTGTTTTCTGTATTGCTGTCCAAGAGATCTGTCATCACCTTTATTTTTTTTTTTTTGTTTTTTGGGGGAAAGGGGGTGGTAGGGTGGTTGGTATCAGATACCAGGAATTAAGCTCAGAACTTTGAGCTTGCCAGGCAGACACTATACCGCTGAGCTGTATTCCTGCCCTTTGATTGCTTCTCTTGTTTACTAGGCCAACAGGAGCAGAAATACTTTGCAGGCTATATCTTGAACCCCTCTTAGGGAAAGTCTCCCATTATAGCTCAGTGATGGTAGGCTCTTAGTTGTAATCTGTGTGGTTGGAAGGTAGTGGGGTGCACCATTGAGATACCATGTAGAACAAATGATGAAAACGTCGAAGATGGTGATTTCAATGTTGTGTCTATTTTGTGATAAAATTTTCTTAATATAAAATGTAAAATATCCTTTTCAGGTATTCTTAAATCTCTGCTTCTTCAACTTTAGAGCATAATGAAATTTATAAAGACTTATTAAGATTTTTATTTAATTGGGTATAAAATCAGTTAAGTGAAAGCATTTTAAATTTTATTAAGTATAACAAAATACTTTTCTTAAAATTTTATTTTTAGGGGCTGGGGAGATGGCTCAGTAGGATAAGCACTTGACTGGCAAACGCAAGGATCTGAGTTCAATCCCCGGTTCTGCCAAAATAAATAAATAAATAAATAAAATTTTATTCTGTCTCTTACATATTAACCTAAGTAATTGATTCTAGTCCTTGTCTAGTAGTATTAGATAATTTTAATATTTAAATTTTAATAGTTTTAAATATTTTCTCTTAACAGGTGGTATGTACAGTTACCTACACAGCAAGCTCATCAGTATCATGAACTAGAGACGACTTGTCTCCCTTTATCACCTTCCCCTTTTCCTATTTCTTCTCTTGAAGAAGAGGAAACTGCAGTCAGAGATGAGAATTGTGCATTACCCTCACGTTTACACCCTCAAGTAGCACATAAGATTCAAGAGTTAGTATCACAGGGCATAGAACAAGTATATGCAGTGAGGAAACAGCTAAGGTACAGTAGAAGCAAATTATGCTTTAATTTTTTTATTTTTGTTTCTTGGTTTAAACAGTGCACATAATATTATATTTTCTAGAACGTATACTATCAGAATAAATAAATATAGATTATTAGATTACAATGAGAATCTTATTTACAAACCAATAATTTTCTAGCAAATTCTTGTAGCAAATAATTCAATAATATGAATTATTAATAATATTGTTACTCATTTGGAATATTCCATATTTGGCACTTTGGACTGTATCTAAATGGTATATGAGTTGAATTATGTCATAAATACCTTTAGAGAAAAACTTGTATAGAACCTAAGATTTCAAGATACTTATTTCATATTATTTGAAAAGCAATTAAATTTATTAAAATAAAAATATTTGGATGGGGGCCAGGGAGACAGCTCAGCAGCTTAAACTCTTACCTGGAAAGAGCAAGGTCCTGAGTTTGATCCCCAGTATTCATTTGGATAGTTCTTGGTGTAATGAAATTGTATTTCTAGTACTCTGATGTAATTTTATTGATTCAGAATAATTAATATACTGCAATAATACCATATATCACATATACTTTCTTCATGGTTTATTGTATATAATATATTCAATATAATAATAAATACAATGTGATAGCAATAGTAAATTATGCTGAGTAGCAGTAATCTTAGATCAGGGTACTACATATAGAATTTCATTGAACAATGAACTATACAAAATTTTTATTATAATATGATTTATAATTTAATATTTTTAATTTTAAATAGTAATATTAGTTGGTGATGCTTCCTGTCTTTGTGCCATGTTCTTTACATATATCATCTTCTTTAGTCTTACAGCAGCTATATATTGCTGTTATACTTATCCCCATTCCACACATGAGAATATGGAAACTTGGGGCTGGAGAGATAGCTCAGTAGAATAAGCAAAGGGGCTGAGTTCAATCCCCAGTTCTGCCAAAAAAAAAAAGAAAAGAAAAGAAAATGGAAACTCGAGAGTTATTTTATTTTATTTTATTTTTTTTAAATTTTATTTATTTATGTGTGTGTGTGTGTGTGGCCAGCTCAGCCCACCAGGGGGCGGGGCTGGCTGGCATGTGGTGCTGGGGGATTGAACCGCGGTCCCTGTGCTTTGCTAAGCTTGTTCTAAGTACGTGCTTTAGACCACTGAGCCATCTCACCAGCCCCGAGAGTTATTTTATAATGGGCTGAAAAAACAGAGTCAGAACTGAAATTTAGGCCTAATTCTATATCCTTCACATATGAATATAATTTGTAAGGCTGGGGAGATAGCTCAGCAATGTAAGTGCCTTCCTGGCAAGCACAAGGTCCCGAGTTCAATCCCCAGTACTGCAAAAGAAGAAAAAAAAATATGTATGATTTTTAGTACTTCACCTTGCTCCTGCTGGCTGTTATTTAGTATAATATGAACAACAGAGTACCTCTTAGAATTGTTTCTTAATACACAATTTTTCTCTTTAGCCAATTTCATAAGACATTTTATATTTATTTCCATTGGACCATCTTTAAAGTCAAAATTTGGTGAAGCCATCTATAGTTTACTAATAATCCTATGCTAAGATACTCAAACTGTTGGCAGTGAAATTCTTTAAGAACAAAGGCAAACTCTAGGTGGTGGCACACACCTGTAATCGTAGCACCCAGGAGGCTGAGGCAAGAGGATCACCAAGAGTTCAAGGCCAGCCAGGGCACATAGTGAGTTCAGGGCCAACCTGAACTGCATAGTGACATCCTGTCTCAAAAATAAAGGAAAAAACAAAAAGGACCAGAGGAAAAGTACAATTCTGTAGTGAGGGCCATTGAATGTAATGCACAAAGCATATATATTTTAAACTTATTTTTGTATTTTTTATATAATGATATAGCACTGTTTTATTTATCTTTTGTTTACTTATGAAATTCAAGTAATATCATATTTCATGTAGTGTTAATTGATGCATGTTGCAAATAGTGTTAACACTTGCCTATGCACATAATTTGAATATAGGGCCAAGTTCTCCTTTTTACTGGGTGGGTATATCACTTTGGAAAAATTATTTAACTTGTGTAAATCTTCAGTTCCTTTATCTATAAAGTGGGAATAATAAATGCATCTGTATCATAGGATCATACTAAGAGTTAAAAGAAATATTAAAGTATTCAATACTGTGCTTGAGATAACATTCAGAAACATTAAATTGAAAATATTCCTTTAAATTAATTTATAAAAATGTCAAATCTCACTTTAATGTGTTTATCCAATGAAAAATTGCATTCTTTTTAACCTACATGAATTCTGTGATTGAATGTATGAAAAAAAAAAAAAATAAGTTGGGTATGGTAATCTCAGTACTTTGGAGGCTGAGCCAGAAGGGTCCCTGTGAGTTCAAGGCCAGCCTGAACTATATAGTGAAAACCTGTCTCAAAAAAAAGATTAAACTGAAAAATATAAATTATTTAGAGTGGTAAAACTTACCTTACTGAAATTTATGCTAAAAGAGAAACTTTCTTTTGATCTACATGGTTTATATTTTTATTTCTCATATTCTTAACAGAAAGTTTGTGGAAAGAGAACTTTTCAAACCTGATGAGGTACCTGAAAGACATAATTTATCTTATTTTCCAACTGTAAATGATATAAAAAATCACATCCATGAGGTACAGAGATCATTGAGAAATGGAGATACGGTATACAACTCAGAGATCATTCCAGCCACGGTATGATTACAACCACAGTTGTTTGTTTTATTAGAGAATTTTTCTTTCTTTCTATTAATATTTGAATAGAGATAACTACTATTAAAGCATCAGAATAACTGATAAAAGAAAAATAATGACAGGTTGCCATTAAAATGTAAGTATGATGAAATTTTAGGTGATTTAAATTTTATTGTCAAAAAAATAAGAAACAGTGAATTTCTAATCTGACTAATCAAAATCCTAGTCTGCCCTTTAAAATCAATACTTTTCTCTATACATATTATTTCTTATTTAGCAAACATTTATTGAGTACATATCAATCATCTCTCTTCTATTTTTTATTTATTGAGAGAGGACCTTGCTTACAGTGTTACCCAAGCTGATCTTAAACTCCCAGGTTCGAGGGATCCTTCTGCATCAGTTCCCAAGTACCTGGGCTAAGGCTGTGTCCCAGCACATTAGGCTCCTACTCACCTTTTTCTTAATGGTGATGATCAATTCCAGGGCCTTGAAAATGCTATGTCCAAAGCTTGCTCCCTTCCTTAAA